ATATATATATATATATATATATATATATATATATATATATATATATATATATATATATATATATATATATATATATATATATATATATATATATATATATATATATATATATATATATATATATATATATATATATATATATATATATATTAGGGTGGTCCTTATTTCCATACAAAATTTTAATTTGTATTTTTTCGCGCTTGCGCCCCCTCAAATGATGCCATTCGTCTAGAAACGTGGAAAAAGAGCAAAAAGAGCGAAATCGGCGGATGCTTTTTGGTGGCTCAATGCATATTAACCCTCGTATGTTTAGGGGGTCGGATGGACCCCATGGGTTTTCGCGAATAACTCACGGAAAAAGCGGCCGATCGCGACAAAACTTTCAGTTCCCCCGAGTTGATCAATTTCATACCTACTCTGAAAATTTCATGACCCTGACCCAAATGACCTTTGACCTGTGACCTACTTCTCGAGACCATGTTTGGCCGGAGTCGCGATTCAGCGTATGTCAGCTCTCATTATCCGCGCGTTTCTAGTCTTTTTGCGATTATAAACGCCCAAACATGTGAAATGATGTTCGTCCCATGCATTACGGTGGGTGTCAAGGTCACCTGAAGGTCAGGTCAGGTCATTGACCTATAATGACCTCGTGTCACTTTTCCGAGTTATACATGTTTCTAAGGCAGTTTTTCGGGCTGATTTCGAATTTAGCATCCATTTGAACATTTACGAAGTAGTTTTAGTGCCTTTGTAACGTGTTACGACGCCATCAGTGGTAGTTGAGACCTACTATGGGTAACCGGCAGGACGCCTAATGGTTGACCTGACCTGACCTGACCTGGTCTAAATGCATGAAGACATCATATGTGATCAAAACTAGCATGAAATTCGTGATCAGCACCCCCAAAAACATAACAGCTTCACTGTACGAAGCTCTTGCAGGTCCCGATTTTCCTGACCATTGGGTCAGTGACCTGACCTGGAAGGTCAACCAATGACCTAGGACCTTAAACTGGACATCATCGGCTTCCTCTCGTCACGGGCCACACGCTCGTTTTTTTCGCAAAGCTCTAGCGCGATCTGGAGCCAAACGGCTCAGGGGTCCAACCGAACCCCCGCCCCCCCCCCCCACACACACACGTTAGACGTTAGACGTTAGCGGAAAGTCGCGGCGTGATGACCGTGGTTCGACCATGCTTTCGGGATGACAGAGTGGCTGTACCCATGCTGGGGCCAGGTCTCACGGCTCCGCGAAGTGGGGACGATTCGGAGCTACTCGAGGTTATGCTTTCCAGCTCCACTTGGTCGGCTGCCGCCCGCGCCTCCTGCGACGCCTTGCTCCTCCTCCTCTCTTCGGCGTCATCCCTCCTCCTCTTCCTCTTTTCTCGGGAATGGAGCGCCATGCCTGCCTCTGTCATTCTATCCCGTCTCCCTGGCTCACGTTGGGCGAGAAGGAAGGCGCGATCTTCCGGGATGGTTACCAAGGACATTGCGTCACCCTGGGCGATATCAAAGATGTTTTCCAGACGTTTCTTGAATGCGTCCTCGTTGCCTGTTTGGGTGGCGGAAGTCCTGTTCTCGGTCTTTTTTAGGCGTTTCCACTCGTCGAAGAGAGTTTCCTTCTTCTTGAACGCTCTCCCCTCGTGCTGGGTGGGAATCCTAGCCCTTGCCCAGAACTCCTCTACCTTCTCTAACGTCCGGTTGGCTGCTTCCCGGACCGTTTCCTAGAGGATTTGGTGGCGGTGGAGGAAGTAGGCGAGAGATTGGCCGCGGGATGGGAGCTTGCATAGGCGGCGGAACGGGGAGGGCTCTTTTTCAAAAAGAGGGGGCCCCCTCTTTTTGAAGGTGTTCCGCCGCTACTGGGAACTTGGAGCCAAGGAGTTCATCACTGGGGGACACCATGTACCCAGAAGTTTGCGTCGTAGACAATCGTTACGCCTGAGGAAAAGGGAACGAACATTGATCGACGAAACGGACATTGAGCGAACATTGACGAACGAACGAGCGTTGAGCTACCAGTAAATAATGAAGTAGGGATCTGAAATTTTGACAGACATGTTTTTTCGTTAAACTGCACCGATTGAAGGGGCGCAAGGTATCCAAATACGATTTTCGAAAATAAGGACCACCCTAATATATATATATATATATATATATATATATATATATATATATATATATATATATATATATATGTGACATTATATCACATATACATATATATTATATCACATACATATATCATATCCATCATCTAACTTTGTATCACACTCTCAAAGAAGAGGATGGTCGCTAAATGTGTCAGGATGTGTTAAAAGGCGAGATCACAATTTTCAAAATGTATCTTTTAGGAGATCTGATGATGGGCTATGCCTGAAACTGTTATCTCTTTCTTCTCGGTCATAATTTAGAATACATTCATTATTATGAGGCTTCGGTTTTCTTTCATCATTATACTTATCATCATGAGCCTCAAACAAGCGCTTTCTCATATGACTTGTTCTTCCTTGCATCTTCGAAGAAATTCAATTCGTTCGGTCGTTCGGTTTGCTTTCATTAAAGATAGAAAGATTACCTAACGTGATATGGCTCATTCATTGCACTTCTTGACATGACGTGACATGACATGACATGACATGACATGACATGACAAATGACATGACATGATAATCCTCAACTTGCACACCATGTTTAAAATTGATGAGGGAAAAGTCATGCCCAATTTCGCGGCGCTATGCGCCGCGGTTTTGCGCTATTCGCGAAAAACCTCAGGGGGGGGGGGCGGTCAACCGCCCCCCCCCCGTCGGTGCGCGGGTTAAGTCACCGATATAAAAATTTATTCATTTTTTACATACTGTTATAACTCTTATCAATCGCTGAGAGTTTCAAGGTGATCGTTCAGTCGATGTAACTATGACGAGCATTCTAACTTTTTCTGAGGTGAGGAGACTCGACGTGACCTGGTGATGGGACTTAGACAGTTGTGCCTGATGCTCAGCCCCTGATAAAGAGAGCTGCAGCCCCCCCCCCCCCCCCAATGGACTGTTCCTGTTTGACCCGCATAAATGTACTGATATATGTAGAAACAATATATTGAGAGTCAGGGGTGTCGATTTCTCAAAATGGTTGGGGGTGCTCAACCCCTGCACCGGGTGAAAGATTGCAGCTTTGCCATGGGCACAACCGTACAAGGCATGGTTGGGTATCCCCATAAGGTACTGATAATCCCGGGATTTCCACTAATATTTCCCAAAGGTTGAACGTTCTTCAAAATCATTCTGCTCGTCCTAGTACTTGGCTACCTCATTACATAAACATCTTTCCGAAAAAAGCGCGTACATTTGCCGGCAGCTCGGCAGCAGCCCCGGCACCTCTGTAATAAAGTGACAAACCGGTGATCGCGATTAGCACCGGTGCAGCAGCCCCTGCGGTCCACAGGGGCGGACATTGCGCGGGAGGCAACGGTATAGCTACGAGGCTCTGGCGTTAATCAGACGATCGCAATAATCGTTGAAAAAAATGACAGGTGATCGCATTTCGATATTTATGGGTTTACGATTTTCCTCAGTGGCGTAGCCAGGTGGGCCCGTGAGGCACATGCCCCCCCCCCCATTAGGTTCAGTTCAGAGGCCCATCGGGTTATTCGGGCCTGAGGGGCACTGCGGCGCCAATTGGCCGCTGAGGGTCCAGGTTGGCTATATTTGGACTCAGAAGGGCCCCACAGGGCTCGTAAGAACACCTCATGGGCCCACAAGTACCAACATTAAGATCTCCATAAGGGCCCAAGCCAGCCTCTGAGGGCCACTTGCCGGCCTCTGGGGGTCTTAACCGGCCTATAGGGGGCCAGCTCTAGGAGCTGCACACCCGCCTGTAATGGCCCCACACTCATTTCTCTGAGGGCCCCTATAACGGCGACTGTGAGGGCCCTCACCGGCACCCCTGAGCGCCACACCGGCGTCTCTGAGGGCTCCACACCCCTAACTCTGAGGCCCTACACCAATGCCTTTAAAAACCCTACATGGGCGGTTCTGAGGGCCCTTGTCAGTTACCAGCGACCCTGACGGCCCTACACAGGTGACTCGGAGGATCCCAGCGGCGTCTGAGCGCACCATGCCAGTCTCTAAGAACCACACATGGCTCCTGAAGGCACCGGTGACCTCTTGATATCTTCTTGTCGGCCTATGAAGGGTCCGTTCCGTAACAGCAGTTCTGAGGGCCCCACGCGCGCCTGTGATGGCCCTAAACCAGTGTCTCTGAGAGCCCCCACAACGGCGCCTGTGAGGGCCGTCACCGGCGACTGTGAAGCCCCCACACCGGCGCCTCCAGTCCGAGGGCCCCACATTGCCATATCTGAGGGTCCCACACTAGTGCCTCTTAAGGCCCTATATCGGTGGCTCTGAGGGCCCAACATCGTAGCATCTGAAGGCCCCACAAGTGCGCATGTGACGGCCACCCTGCCACCGGTGACATTTGAAGGCCCCACACCGGCGACTGAGGGCTCCATCGGCGTCTAAGTCCGTTCCGGTCTCTAAAGACGACCCCACAGGGTTTCTGAAGGTACCACCGGCCTCTGATGGCCCTTAGCCGGCCTCTGAGGGCCCGTCGCCGGTCTCTGGAGCCCCCTGCTGGCTTGTAAAGGGTACGCGCCAGCAGCTCTAAGGGTCCGACACCCGTGTACGACGGACCCACACCAGTGTCTTTACAACTTAACGTCTTTTTTTCGCTCTTCTTCTTAAAACTAACTTTTCTGGCTTTACATCTTTATTTCATGCTTTGTAAATTGCGTAATTGTTTTATTTTTATTAGTGAAAGACTGCAGAACAATTATTCTCCTCAAGCAGAGTTAGTGGGAGTTATTGAGGGACAAAATCATTGGGGGTGCCCGGAAAACCATTGGGGGTGCTCATTTGAGCATTGGGGGTGCTGCAGCACCCCCAAAGGTATACAAATCGACACCCATGTTGAGAGTTAACAATGACCATGTGTCATGCTTCCTTCAGGTTCCCAAATATATTTCACAAAGATGGGATAAAGCTCCAGGAAACATAGAAGTTGGGAAACTTCGCATCGCCAGGTAATATTTATCGATGTATCTATGACGAGCTTTCTAACTTTTTCTGCTGGTGAGGAGACTCGACGTGACCTGGTTACATTTATCCGTTCTTGTGGCCACATTTTTGCTGATACTGATGCACTTTCACCCTGCTCTTTTGCTTAATGTTTTGGAAAGCCTGCAGCTGGCCATACATGATCGACTGTGCTTTTATACAGGACACCGTCAGGACAGAAGTCTGGGCAGTCTGGACGTCCGAAGCTGGACGTGTCTTTCTCCTTGAGCGAAGCGGTGCTGGCAATGGAGAAGTCCGAAGCCATTCCAAAGGACCACAAGTTTGTCATTAGCAACGTCAACAACCAGACGCTCGGCGTGTTCTCTCAAACTACCCGTGAGCTCCTCCTCGGTTATTTGTGGGCTCTGCTGCTCTCCCCCCTCTCTCTCTCGCTCGGCGTGTTCTCTCAGACTACCCGTGAGCTCCTCCTCGGTTATTTTGAGGGCTCTGCTGCTGCTCTCTCTCTCTCTCTCTCTCTCTCTCTCTCTCTCTCTCTCTCTCTCTCTCTCTCTCTCTCTCTCTCTCTCTCTCTCCTCTCTCTATCTCTCTCTCTCTCTCTCTCTCTCTCTCTCTCTCTCTCTCTCTCTCTCTCTCTCTCTCTCTCTCTCTCTCTCTCTCTCTCTCTCTCTCTCTCCGATATGACATTTATGCTTACTGGCTCTTATTTTCTTTGTTCTTGTTTTTTTTTTGTTCTATGTTCTTTGTTGTTCTTGTTCTTGTTCTTTGTTCTATGTTCTTTGTTACGTTTCCTGCTTATTTTGTGTACGTTCTTTGCAGTGTCTCATGTCTCCTGTATGTGAGAACATTTAATGAAATGCGGAATTGAACCTCGACAAAGAGCACACATTTACTTGAACAACTTTTTATGGAAAAAAAACTGAATTTGCGACTTGTGTGGTGCCTTGACATCGTTGTTAATTTGAATCTGTGAACATTGAACGGACTTTTTGTCACCAGCACCGGCCAACAGTAATGCTGTCGTCCCGGAGACGGAAAAACTCATGATGGAAGGAAGAGTTATCCAGCGGGCTGAATGCAAGCCGGAAGGTAAGCATATCATTACTGTGTATCTGTTGTAAGGTTAGCAGGTGTATGTAGTATCGCGAACAGTGACGTAAAGGAAAACAATCATATTTTAATCATTTAAGGTCAGATAGCCAGGTTACCATAAGCGACCTTAATCACGAACAAGTACATGATTGCTGTATTTCCACCTTCCCGAACAGGACTGGCTGCTGCGAACTTTTAGTTATTATTTAGGGTAGCAGGATTAATGGGATGTGTTGTTTTATTTGTTTTATTTTATCTCTGACTTGTTTTATTTTATTTGTTATCTTTTTCTCATCGGTAACTGCACGGACAGGTTGTTTTGCAAATTTTCCATTTTAAATTAGACATTTTAAATAATTCTCTCGTTTTTCCATGCTCTCGAACATCATTTATTATGTTGCTATCGAATACGTATTGAATGTGAGAATTGGAATAGTGACCTGGCCCCACATGTTTTGAGCTCATTTTTTTAGCTCAGTTTTTCGGACATCACCTTCGATAGAGGCGTGGTAGAGCGATGAAACACCTTTGAAATGCATGTATTCAGCTCACAGATGGACTGATCGACTGGCATGCAACTTTACCGTTAATCTGGCAAATTAGATAAAGTCGAACTTCGAAGTTAATTTGTCATCTCGTTTTGATATCTCGAGAGGTCGAGAACCACACGAGCGATTTTGTTTTAGGCAAATATCTTCCGATTTTTTGTTTGCATTGTGCATCGCAATATACATTTAAAGGGAGATAATGAGCTTTCTTTTTTCTTTAATAAAAATTACTCGACATCTATACTATTTCTACTGTAGTTTCTATAAAATATGAAAATTTCCTAGCGCATTTTCGTATGTGAAAAAGGTTTTTATTTTTGCAAAAAAGAAGCAGTACTTGCAGTACTTGTAACACCCACCGAAATGCGTTGTCCTTCTTGTCCTTCTCTATAAAAAAGTCGCAGTATATGGCGCTTTTGTTTCAAACAGCGACGCTTGGGTTTTTGTTTATGTTATCGCCTTGTCGTTGCTTGGTTGTAAGGATTCTAATTTGAATTAGAGTTAATTCGGTTTAGAATTAATTAGATTCGTACATAGTGCCTACTCTTCTTTGTTTCCAAGTATTATTTTGCGCCACAAATGAACGGCATGCGCCAGAAACGCAGCCAAATCTTGCGATTGCGACTACGAAATTCATTATTTTGGCCTCAGAGCCTGAAGCGAAAAATACAAGCATATTTATTTCAAAAAGACTTCAGGTTTGTCGAACGGTGTTATGAGAATTTTGATAACAGTACTGCATAAGTTTTTCAGTGATGCCGCAAAAGTGTTGTATCTATCTTCTTTTATTGTGCAGTCGGCGGGACCGATTCAAAATTGAGTCGTTGCTACTAAATTAGCAGCATATGGCCTCAGATGATAAACAGGAAAAATAGTTGCGTAAATTTAGACATAAACCACCCCCAAACCATGAATATCTTTTGAAGGCACTATAGACGACCATTAACTAACTAAATGTGATGAAGATCAAATGTAAGGAATACGCTCATTTTACAAAATTACATGCAAGTACCAAAAAGTGATGTAAGTACTTATTCAACGGTCATTTTCAACGCTCCCCGCTAACGTGACTTCAAGTTGAGATATTTGCGGCAAGGTACCGCATTGAGCAAAATGGTTTTAATTTACATTATAACTTGTTGTGTTTTGTCAGAAAATGATCCTAACTCAGATTTTGTGGAAAAAGGTCATTATCTCCCTTTAAAAGAATGGAACTGTGGTATATTTGGGAATTGGGACTCAGTGCAAATTGGTGTCAAAGCGTTTTTATTTAATGTCTAAGCTTATAATACTAGTAAAAATATTAAAAAACCCTAAATAGTACCTAAATTTCCTACAAAATACTTGCACAGATGAGTGAGGTCGTCCCCTAACAAAAAATCACTTTTAGGAAATCTAGCAAATCACAATTTTTCGGACATTCAGGGATTGGCCTGACCTGGAAGGTCAACCATACAATTGGATGGCATCGGTTTCCTCTGTCACGAGCAGCATGCTCGTTTTTTTTTTTTTCGTGAAGCTGTAGCTCGATCGGGTCGGGACGAAACGGCTGCGAAGGGGGATACCATAGGGCATAGACGCCGTAAAAAGGCCAATGCGGACAATTGTTAATGAACATGACGATTTCAATACAGAATGATTATGCCCTATTCCAAGTGTGCCTTAGCGTTTTTTTTCGTCAGCCCTCCGTCAGCTGATAAAGATGCCGGTGGTATAATGTTTCAATGCTCGTTTAATTCTCTCGTAATCGCGCTGCGTGCTCTTACACTACCGGTTGTGTACCGGTACAGGTAGCGAGACCTACATGAAACTGAAGCTGGAGGGCTTCCGAAAGTCGGCCGTGCCGGCCCGCATGGCCAAACGGCTGGACGACGTGGTGCACGTGAAGCCCGTGGCCAATCACCGCTACAACGTGAGTGGACGCCCCGCCGGCTGTGGCCGCCATGGGCAGACCGACCCCCGATGGTTTGGGCCTTTGCGGTGGCCTGGTCACTGGCCGTGTTCGATGTTAAGTGTTAATGGATACTTATACACGATTTTTTACGACATGTCCTCGTCATTTGGACGGTCGGAATTAGTAATAAAAAAACGAAGAAAGTGTAAATGTAAATTCAGTTTGATATCCTTCAACAGATTTTTACATTGCATTGCATTACATACTGAGTAGTGAGTAACCTTATGAAATGAAAGCACTTCGGCGTCTCAAATATAATGTTATAGGCTAAATCTTATTGTTACCGGATGTGTAGTAACTTTGGATGTTAGGTTCTGATTTCAAGCTGAACCCTAGAGAGCATATAGGCTAAATCTTATTGTTACCGGATGTGTAGTAACTTTGGATGTTAGGTTCTGATTTCAAGCTGAACCCTAGAGAGCAGAAGATATCTCTCAGTCGCTGATAGCACGAGTATTATTTCATGGCCAATATGTAACTGGGTTAGTGCCGGCCCCGGAAGTTCGTCGATTCTCCCTGACGCTCGCTCTGTCCTTCGCTCCGGCAGGTGGAATTCACCCAAAAGAAGAAGTCCGAGGGTAAGAAGGTTCGAGACGACAAGGATAAGGTGATGAATGTTCTCTTTGCCGCCTTCGAGAAGCACCAGTACTACAACATCAAGGATCTGGCGGGCATTACCCGGCAGCCTGTGGTAAGTCGAATGGCCTCTGACCGCTTCTGCGCAGGTACGCTGAACTACTGTAACAGTGTAGTATGTTTGAACGTAGTTGATTATTTCGACGGGCATGGTCAGTAGAATACCTAATTACGATGCCGACGATCCCCTAAAGAACATCAGTCCGACTGGCCTGTTCCTCTGTGGCACTGATCTGGCCTGTCTACATGCCCCGACCCGGGCAGCTGGTCTGCTCAGCTGTGGTCTGCCTGTCCGACTGGTCTGGTCCTCTGACACTGAGCTGGCCTGTCTACATGCCCCGACCCGGGCAGCTGGTCTGCTCAGCTGTGGTCTGCCTGTCCACTGGTCTGGTCCTCTGGCACTGATCTGGCCACTGATCTACATACCCCGACCCGGGCAGCTGGTCTGCTCAGCTGTGGTCTGCCTGTCCGACTGGTCTGGTCCTCTGACACTGAGCTGGCCTGTCTACATGCCCCGACCCGGGCAGCTGGTCTGCACAGCTGTGGTCTGCCTGTCCACTGGTCTGGTTCAATCGCTAGGTCTGTTCCATCACTGGTTTGGTCTGTCGTACCCTGGTCTGCCTGCTCGGTAGCCTGGTGTCGGTTTTGTTCCGCAGCCAGGCCTCAGTCCTGGTCTGTTTCTCGTTGTATATAGTAGTCCATGTTTTGTCATCTTTACGGAACTCAGTAGGCTCTGCGTTGCCGTGGTAGAAGCTCCATGCTTGGTATTTGTCTCCATTTTACTCATTTATGTAATTTAGCTCAATAAAAATAAGTGTTTGCCATAAAGAGAGATGCTGAACGACTACGACTACTCTGGGATTGTTCGGAGTGAGAGGAAAATGCTTGAGACTCGTCATCAGCTCCGTTGTGACACAGTCATGCCAATTTGTGATCTTCCCGCTCCGTCAGTTAGAGAGAATTCAGCTGTGATCTTGCGTGCTATTGGCCTCAATATAGGGGTTCCAGCGACCAGCAGCATGAACGCGGTGAATACCCTAGCTCTCCCTCCCTCGAGTGAACAGGGATGCACTCGGTCAGAGTCTGACAGCGGGGCCGGGGTCCCTCTGACAGTTGACAGCTGTCGGCTTGACTTCTGTGGGCGTAGGATCCACAACCACGTGTCAAGTGGGAAGGTAAAAGAGGAGGTTAACGGGTTATTTTTGGTGTTCGATTACCCTCCACTTAAACCTACTAAAGGCCGCCCCACACTGGACCTCGCATGCGGGTTGCGAGTTTTGGGTTTTCGGG